CGAAGTAAATGACAACAAACTGAGTTGAAACTTGTTTTAAGTTAATCTCCACATCCTAGAACTTTCATTATTCCAGTATACCTTATTAGTCGTAATATCTTTGCTTTTTAACGAAGTCTTAATTGTTCCTGGCGATTTTTAATTCTACCACGTAATGTAAGTTCATTTCACTCTCGGAATTAAATGACAGATAATTATTACGGGATTTTACTATTTTGTTAAATATTTAGTAGAAATTTTAAGCGCTCTGTTAAATTCACTTACTATGAATTTCGAGTTAGCTAACAAATCCTACATACACAGTTTCTCATTGACTATAAATTCAACACCCTCTTCCAGATTCTAAATGTTTCAATCAGTTGGTTTAACTTAGATGAAACTATCATTTAGAAACATGTCATGAATACGATTGACAGTTTGATGATTTATAACTGGTTTAAAGCCTTTTGACTATAGTACATCCAAAATGTAAGTTCAAATGCCGACTCTTTCTGTTATTTATAGCAAGAACTTATCAAGCATTATGCATTAGAAGTAGCAACTCATTGTAAAAGCTGACTGTTCCATATCTAAGATTTGTTGATCATTTTATTTCATCACTACTTCCCTAATATTGTTGTCTCCGTTATTTTCGATCAATATATTTTTTACACTGAAAAAAATTATTTGACATAAAATTGATTTTCCACCGTTTTATTCTATAAAAAGCTGATAGGAATCTATTGAAACAGTAAAACACATTATTTGCTGTTTTTCTTAACACATTTGGAATGAAAGCAAATAGTAATTGAACACTATTTCTATTATATTTAGTTCCCTATTTAAGCTTAGATAATTTGTTTTAGTTTGACTAACTGATTTCTGGAAACAAAATGAGTAAAGTTTTCGAGAAAAAATATTAGTACAACACAGTGTGATGCAGCTATAGGGAAAGTATTTTTTTATATAATTTAGTGGATTGAGTATAATTTTTTATTAGACCGATTATAAAACATTAACCAGCATTTATAATTACATACGACGAAATCATTTTCTGTCAGAGCTGTATTTATTATTTTAGTCTCGCTACTTATTGTAGTTAATATTTCGGAAATGATTAAGATTCCTTAAATGATATGATTTATTTATTTACAATTTTTATTGAATACTTGACAAAAAACATATTTTCGTAATTAAGCATAAGAAATATCAGTTTATTTAATCTCAATAAGTTATTGTTAATATCTAACTAAAGACTCACTAATTAGGTGATCACATTATTTGGAGAGGAAATGGTGTATGTAGAGTTGTATCCTAAATATTAAGCCCTTCATTTTTGGTCAAGTTTCTTCGAGATAATTCCTATGTTTCGTGTATTACTCTTCCTGATAACAGTTTAAAAATTTCAGAAGATAATACGAGTGGTGACCACAACTTGTAATTTTACTTGTAATTATATATATATATATATATATATATATATATAGAGAGAGAGAGAGAGAGAGAGAGAGAAAGCGAGAGAGGGAGAGAGAATGCGTCATCGAACAATTTAGGCAGCTAGTCAAACTTGTCAAAGCAGGTCAAATAGCAAATTAAAATGAATGAATAGTGAAATCCAGTAGATTAGTACTCCCTCGACTCTACGGTAGGCTGAAAATACTCAGACCGAACATACCGCTAAATCCATTTATATCACTCCCCGGAACCTCAACATACAATTTAAAGAGAGAAATTTCAAGAATATTGAGACATTTAGTGGATCTACTCAATCACTCTATCAAATCTTCCATGCAATTCTCGGATAAGGTTAAAGACATTTGGATCAGCAACGACAAACTGTTAATGTCCTTCGATGTAACATTCTTAGTCACCCCAATTAAACCAAGCTTAGCAAAGGGAACTCTAACCCTGTTTCTCAACAATGATGCAAATGAAGCAAAGTACACGAAGCTTCTAAGTGAAAGATTACTAGAACTCATCAATTTATGCTTAACAACATATTTTTAATTCAACAAAAAAATCTATGGACAAACGAAAGGAATACCGATGGGATCACCAATATCAGCAGTTATTGCATTAGCAGTGGTGGAGAGGCTTGAAGCCTCGATCTTACCAGTGATCAAGCCGAAAATTTGGATTTCTTATGTGGACTACACATTCACCATCGTCTAAAAGGACGAGCTGGAAAACACCTACAATTTGATCAACAACGTCTTCGATGATATGAAGTTCACAATAGAACAGGAATCAAACAACAAACGATTGTTCTTGGATGTATTAATCCCCAGAACGGACACAGGAAAACTGGAAAGTGGAGCATGTCGGAATCCGAATCACACAGATCAAATTCTCAATTCCAGTAACAACAACGAAACCAACTTCTATAAGCTTTGTTCAAGAAGGTGAGGACGCACTGCAACACGCAGCGCGGAAAAAATGAATAAAAATATCTAAAGACTATCTTTCAAAAAACGGCTACCCATTCAACTTCACCAAAACATATCAACGGAACGCATCAACAGAAACAAAATCAAGTACCAAAACCAACAAACGGATCATCCTACCATATATAAAAGACATCAGAAATTACAACGAGATAGCTGAAGCCTTTTAGAATAAGTGTAGCACACAAATGAATAAAACCACTTGAATCAATCTCATGCAAACCGAAGGACGAAGCGATAAAAGAAGAAAAACCGGACATCATTCAACTGCGAGAAACATTACTTAGGACAAAGTGGATGCCCCCATCATCTTCGCCTACAGAAAAATCAACTAGCGGTCAAAATCCATGATGTACCTTTGATCAAATCAATAAACGTGGAAAACTAAAGAGGAACATTTGACTGAAGAAGTGTTAAAGTCTTGGATAGAGGATATACTAAAAACACCAAAGAATTTTTAGAAGCTTGACACTCAGGTTAATTAGCAGTCAACAAACACATCGAAGTCGATCCAATTTATCAAACACTCATGAAAACCATGGACAACTGTAGAACAAAGAACCAGATTAAAGGGAAATACAATCAAAATGAAGATACAGAGAGTGACAGTTCAAAGGCAAACAATATCCGGTCAAGACCAAGGTCGACAGAACAAGCTGTGAGTCATATATACAGAAGTTCGAATAAGTTACTTCTACCTGAAGTTTGTGATGATGATGGTGTACAGAACAACAATGATAGCTCCACGACCATATCATCCAGCTCAGAGAACAAAACACCACCAAGAAAATTTACCTCAACTCATATTCACTACTGATGACTATACTTAAGTATTTTGTTTAAATAATAAATATTTTAATAAAATGAGGACATTTCAGTGATTATCTTTCACATCACGTTTTTATATTTTATTTAATTTTGATTACCGTTGGACTATAACGTAACGTTAAGTTTTCAGTTACTTTTAGGCAGTGTAAAACCGATTGCACAGCTCTAATAAATGATATCATTGGGAAAAATACTTTATTTGCTGAAATGTCTTCATTTGATTTAGTGATTCGATGAATTTCTTTCGTTGTTTTGAAATATTCTAATCATTTATCGATGGACAGTTAGTTATGATATTTGGTTACTAACTATAAAGTATTCAAGCTAATAGGATCAACAAAAGCTTAGAAACTTGTAATTTTAGTCTTCATTGGTGATCACTTATTTGATATTTGTTTCTTGATGTAACTGCATCATATTCTGTATTCATCGTAATAACCTATAAGTTTAGAAATGTGATTTTGAGTGTTCATGAATTTAAGACTTTTGTAAAGTTTTCTGGAATAACGAAATATAATGGATTGTAATTGAATAAATTTTATGGTTTTATCATTTTCCATAATTCGTAATTTTATAGTAATATATCTTGTTTACGGAACTTGTATCAATGTAGGTTTCATGATATCAAATGAAATGCTTTTTCCTTTTACTCTGCAAGATAAATAACGATATCACTTTAACTTGACTCAGCTACGGAGATTCATCCATTCACTTTCAAAAACACATATAAATTCCCAGTAAAACTATCGTCTCAGAGGTCAGTCTTGGTCGTTATCTTACTCTTTATGTCTGTCAACTAGTATAGTGAAAGAGTTGATTAAAATTATTCTACAGCGCGGTTACTGTTCATTGGGCAACTAACAAACCTATTTTATTTCTCGACAAAACTTCTTTTTGGTTGAAGGCGTAAGTTTCATCTTGATCCTTGTACTGAAAATAAATCTCATTCACTTTTATTGGTTTAATTCTTTCTCAAATTATTAGTATGGAAACTCTTAGGCTTATCAATTGACTTCACAATGCCGCCTATATATATATGGTCAGTTCAAACATGACTACTAAAAAAGAATTTATCACAACACAAGCTAGTATCTATTTCATATCAAATATCAGTCAAAACTGTTCTCATTCATTTATTCAAATTTAATTAGTTTTATTTGGTTCAACTGACATCTAACCTTTCTGATTTTGTCCATCAATATACATCAGTACAATTCTATAGAATTCTTACTGAAAATATGTACATGTATTCACATATTTAAATTATTGCACATGTCTGTGTTTTGTTAGCAATCGAAATAAACTTCATAAAGTATGATAGATTTCTGTAAATTGACTAGTCTAAATGTTCTTACAAACCCACATATTTAGCTTGTAAACCCCTTTAACCTGCATAATTTATCAAAACTGAGAAACTTGATTTGTTCTTATATCCAATCGATTAAATTAACACTGAAACTTTCGAAATGACCCTTAAAATATGACACTACAGTTGTTAACTGAGTTAGCCAGTGTCTGTGCACCTATGTATTTTTGTGCATTTGGTTAAATCGATCGACGTTTACTGGTTATTTGTAGTAATATTCTGTGACAGTAAGAAAGAGCTGTAATGGACGTCTTATAACTAAAACAATTTAAATATTATGTATTCAAGTGATGAATATAATGTTTATGACATTATTCATGAAAATATTGATTGACATTATCCATAATTTTTGAAGTTATTTCTCACTGTTTCTGTTATATCAGAAAACATTGTCTATCGAAAATTACACTCGGCAGAGGAAATCAGAATCATGTCAGAACAACTCAATTAATGAGGATAATTCAATTGATGTAAACGAAGTAAAAAACACTGAGCTTTCTGAACAAATACGTAAAGAGTTAAGTGATATTTCTGCACGGTTATCAAGTTTATCTTCAAATCCTTCTGTTCCCATTTGGTATCAGTCAGATGATAATAATGTATCACATGAAATAGGTTAGTTGTTATCATTGGTTCTAGTTTTAAAGTTATTTTTAAAATGAATATTGTAATGAGGTTATTTCTAGCATATGCGTTGATCCGTATTATCTCGAAATATTTTCATGATTGAATCTGAATCTGAAATATAATCCAAATGGTCGTTTTAATTACCTATCCTATATAATTAATACATTTCGAATACTAGTTGAAAGGTAATTCGTTATACAAAATAAAATTGGGTGAATATAAAATTATTCTGTATTTAATGTCCATCATTAAATATGATAAGCAAATTGTAGTTTTTTATGTTATTAAATAAAATTGCCGTGATAAAGATATTTATTTAGAAATATCGATAAACCAGTCAAGTTATACTGTGACATTTTGAATTTCTTTTGTTTAAGGACTGTTGCTTTACAAAAGTTCCTAATTTTCTATTACTATGTAGTAAGTAGCAACTCTGTCATGCCTTCCTAACTGCAAAACTGTTGATCACCATGTCAGAATTTACAAATTATAATTTATAAATATTCAGTTAAATGAATACGATGGTCGTTTTTAATTACAATGCATTCCTAAGTAATCTATTTTGGACTAGTTAAATGTTCAGCATCAGAATTGTACTTCGATAAAAGGTGAGTAAGTTTATTGTAAAAATTCACCTCAAGTTGTACATTCTTGGTATTAACTAGCTATTTGAAATTCTTTCGAAAGTTTTTTTTCAACTTCGTTTACTTTGAAAAATTTACAGTATCAAAAATAATTTATCTGTTTCTGAAATATCAATTTTCAAGAGACAATGAAACACAATAAAAGATACGCATTAAAATTTCCTAAGATATGATATACGCATCACATACTTCCACATTTTATTGCTTCATAGGCTTTCAACAAAGTACACCTTTATCAGACAGAACTATCGCACCACAAGATTCGTTTTCAGAAGTCATCTCAAATAAACAACAGAATTTATTTGTATATAATAAAACTGACGTGACGTCTGATACATTTGATCATCTCAAATATTCAATTAGTCGACTTTCTAACGACGACCAGTTCAAAGTTAATTACAGACATAAAACGTTGAATAAAGACAACTTGGATTCACTCAGGAAACTGAAACGCTATCCAACAGCCGGAAAAAATTCTATAGCAAACAAGAAATATACAAAAACTATTTTTCCTAACAAAAGTTGGATAAAAGTACCTCAAAATTTATTAATTAGTGCTGCTGAAGGTCTACAAGAACTTTTCCACGATTCATCAGATGATGAATCCCTTGATGATCACTCTTTACTAAAATTTGATATTCAGAATTCTACTCAGAACTTAAGTGATAGCAGCAGTAGTACCGAAAGTAGTAAACATACTTACACTATGGAAAGTCCTTCTGAATATTTGGACAGAAAATTTGATCTTGAACAAATGGAGGGAAGTTATCACTCCGCAATTTCTAACAATTCGGCATCTAATTCAGGTGAGTAACTTTACGTAACTTTTATTTTTAGTTTCAGATGTCTATTTTACTTGAAAATATGGCTTTAAATATTTCATTTAAACATTTGAAATTTATTTCACTACCGTTCAATGAGCATTTAGATAAGATTTCATGGGTTGCTTTCTGTTGGTGATGTGCTAAGTAATGTACAAACACTATAATCTTTTTACTCTTCTTAGTTAAAAATTCTCGGTTTCGAATGGACCCGAAATCGTTTCTTTCATCCTTTATTAATGATCAATTCCACGACACGTGGAACACTAGAGTTTTCGAGGTCATTTTACATCCTATTCACTTTAGATTTTCGATCGGATTTCAATATGTATTAAGTCAATGAATTATTTGTTTCTGGATATCGCGAGAGCAATTGTATGTGATATATCCAATCTATTAAAAAAATAGAAATCTGAAGTAGACATCTGATATAATTAAACATGATATTTTGCATTTTACGTAAATGTAAATGTAAACTAAGATATTTGATAATTTTGTTTAGAATTTATCTACTGTACCAAATACATTTTCAATTTCTTGAAAATAGTTTAATCTCATTTTCACGATAGGTTCGCGTATTCACGAAACAACTGACTATTCAACTACTAATGGAACTTTCACTAGACCCCGCCTACCTCATTCTGTTGTTCCGAATGCAGATTTGTACCTGAAGACTAATAGTAATAATTGTGTTTCAACTAAAGAAAAGAAGTCATCACATCATCCTTTAAAAATGAATGACTTATTATCACTTGAAGAATTGGACGATTATTTGTTTGATACACAAAAATTAGTTACAGTATGTTTTAAACAGTCTTGTTAAATAACTATTCATGAATATTTTTTTATTGTTACTGTAATGGTTACAACACAATGATCAGTCTGTATAAAAAAGAATTTCGTCCGGTCAAACATGAGTGATCATAAAATATATACTAATATGCAAGAAATGCATCTAAAAATGCAAAAATCTTTATCAAGGAGAAGGTTAGTAACTTTATGCCAAATGGTGAATTAGTTTAATGGAGGTTTGTCACCAATGCACCAGAAAAAATTCAAAATAAGATTTCCCAATTAACTAAATAAATATAACTACAGGGCTTTAGTAGGCTGATACATTATTTGCTTTTTGTGACTGCGGTTTTATCGTGCGATGATGCTATGAACATAAATCTTCAATTTAATTCAACATATTACTTGGGCGTACCCCGTTTGTGTAACAGCGGTAATAAGAAGCCAAATACAGGTTGCAATGGATGAATTTATTTCCAGCACTCGTTTATCCAGATAGACATTTTGAAAGAAAAGCGAGAAAACAAAGCGGAGCGGAGAAGGCGAGTTAAAAATCAAGAAATTGGTCTGTCCAGAATCTAGAATAACCTATGTCGGCTTGACAAGATACTAGACACTACAAGCTGTATACATGATTTATAATTGTATAAACCATGTATCATTTGTCTTGACAACATTAGGTAGATTGTTTGAAAACTAACAAGTTATGACAGCAGAGCTGTTATTTTTCAACGATTTCTAAAGTCGTTGTTATAACTTGTGGCCTTGGGTCCTATTAATATATAACGTAATCATAACACCAATTAGAGAACAGTGAATTACCGACCGGAACAATGACGCGTAAACCCGTACGAACAGTCTACAGTCCTTATCCGTTCTTCTTCCTGTCTAGTCCTGCCTGTTAAGTCCAGAACACCAATCTCAGCCTCCGTGGTTTGAATCATGTATTTCAAACATACTGGGTTTATATACATACCAAACAGACCACGTTGTACCATAAAATAGAAAATAACATTTGTACGAGAACCTAGCCAAAAGTGGCTGTGAATAAGGGAGACTGTAATTAATAGACTGGGCATAACTCAAGAACAGTAAATCATATAATAATAGTTTATAGGTCAAAGTAAAGCTTGAATAGTTTTACATTAAGAATATACGTATAATATTTGTCCATAAATAGTTCTCAAAATTAAATCAATCTATCTGACAGAATAATTAAACCACAGAAATTTGCACAGACCTTATAACAGACAAGGTCATTATTTAAAATATTTGCATGTAAATTCAATACTTGAATACTATTCAGTCCGGACTGAAAAATATCGACCTACGATTACATCATGTCGTATAAATCCTATTTATTTATGAATACGTAATTAAACAGTGTGCTTTTAAATCTATTATTTAACATGTTTATTCATAGACTACATTTATCGCATATAAATAAATAATTTACATAATGTACTCATTGTTGTTTTTTGAATTTATTTTATCCCAACCCGCTTAAACGGAAACAACTAGCAACTGGAGCAAAAAATGGCAAATGATAAGTCTGAAAAGGCGATTTCTCAAAAACAGCTGACTGTTAAACAGAATGAGATGATCTGTTCCGCTGAAGATTACGAAGTAGCGAAAGCATTAAGCAATGCTGATCAATTGCTTGGATCAACTGTTAATAAGCGTTTGTCAGCCATTCTCCAACGACGACAAGATAGACAAAAAGGTTACACCTCAGGTTTGGAACAGGCAAAAAAGATGCTGAATGGATTTAATGGGATTCCTGAAGAGAAGATTAATAGGTCACGTAGAACAGCTCAGTCTGTGGTGGCATGTCGACCACAATCTCAGCAACCAACGTCTCGTTGTACGAAAAACTCCCATGTACCTCCTTGTGAACAACCTTCTGTACCGTTGAGAAATGCATCCGAGACGCGTCGTAATCACTCCAAGTGAGCTTTACATTTCATTCCTAAAATGGTGTCTATTTCAGTATAATTAATAATACATTTCTTTCCGTAAAATTGTTAAACTAATTTTCTGCTAAAATTTTAAGTGTTGCTTCAAGGAAATTGATTAAATATGTAAAACAAACAGTTTATTAGATGTAAAACATTTTGGAAAAGGTTCGCACTCTCTTCAGTGTATTATCCGCATCATTTCCATGGTTTTGTTTCTACCATTCAAAAATCTAGATAAATCTAATGTTTGCATTAATACGCTTAAGAGTTTGGACTAAATTAATCATAAATGTTTTCTTTTGAAAATTCAGCACGAATGAAAACAACTGTCAAGAACACTTCATCAAGGTACTCTTGGAATTATGATTGGGACATTCCCATGTTATGATGTAATGGATATCGGTACATTACTAGAAAGAGATCAAAACCTCGATCATTCGTTTGTCTTCTTTATATTTTGATGCGTGCTACAGATCCCAAAGTCGCCTTAAAACAGAACAGAATCCTTCATCATTAGGAAGCGAAAATGATTTGACATGAAAAATGGCGATAATAACTGGAAGAAGAAATTATAAATCTAGATCAACATCATTTCAGACATTTTCTAACGGAAACTGATCTCCTATAAGGAATAATGTATTTTAAGTCAAACTCCATGATCTCTGCAGTGAACCTATTTTAATGAAAATCCTTTATTAATAACGCATTACAGGGGGGTCTTTGGTTTAATCTGTCCCATATATTACACCGATATCTGATTTAGATATTATTGTGAATCAGGGTTTGGTAGACTTATAGATAAGGCTTTGAATTTATGACAACAAATAAATCATTTAGTAAACGTGGCAACATTTTGACATTTTTGTCATGTTTTTAAGTATTTATTCATCCGGGTGAAAAAACACTCCCACCGTTTTCAGTTTTGATTACTTCAGTTTCTGTTTGGAGTACTGTAATGTGGAAAAACACCAAATGTTTGTTGGAAATAACTGGTGTGTTTAGGTTCCATATATAACTCGTTATTTGTAGCTATAGGGGCAAAGCACTAGAATACTTTGTTTTTCATTTTACTTCTAAATTAACAATATTTGTAATTAAAATGAAGCTGTTCTCAAAATCTTCGGATAAATCAAAAATTATATACTGTTAAAAAGTTAAATGATCGTTCTTTTTTATCAAGAACTGTTAATTACATCATTACTTTGTGTATAAAAGTTAAGGTCCCATTGATCTAAGAAGTTTTTCAGTGACACTATTAAATTTGAAATGAGTTTTAATTAAGTAGGTTTATTATGAATTGATTTCAATCCATCAATCGGAATTTATGCTGTTTAAAATAATTAGCCTGGATCACCACTTGTTATGAGGATAGGTTATTATACCCTGTTAGGCAGAAAACTAATCGTTTTTTAGTTATTTCATTAAATTGTTGTTTTATGGGACAACTTTAATTAGTCAGCTGCTCAGTAAGATATTACAAGTGATAATTGAACTACTTAACTCATTTTATGAATGAACATAGTAAATAAATAATGTTTTATTCACATTTCATTTAACCAAAAAAGATCATTGTTATTTGAAAATATTTTATAATGTTTGTTCAATTTTACTTACAATAGATTATCGCATAATTCATCCAACTTTCCAATCTCGGTAGAAAAATCCGCAAAATCGTTCTTTTCTCAAAAAACAGTCAGCATTGATCGTTATGGTATTTCCCATAATCACTCATCAATCTCATCTACACCTGAAAGTTCAAGACATCTAGGCGTTGATGCTATAAAAACAAGCAAAATGTTGGCTGCTCTCAACTGGCAACGTCGTAAATCCTATGATCCAAAACAGTTTCTTAATAAATCAAGTGGAAATTCTACAGGTTTATTATACTGCTATATTTTATTTTATAACATATTTTTATGATCTGTTGAAGTATATTGTTCAGTTATTAGATAACAATTCTTTAGATTTATGGCATAATGATTATAAAACTCGAAGTTTAGTCTCTTCTTTAGAGTCTTAATTCCCGTTCTCTGACTTACATTTTTAATGCTGAATAGACCCTTTGGCTTCCTCTACTCGTAAATAGGTTATTTTTGTGCGTAATGACTATATATGATTACCAACTGTTACCTTGAGTACTTTGTTTAAAACAATTATTTTTAATATAAATCCGTAAGCTATTTAATATTTGGGGATTTATCTCTTATTTGAAATAGAATAGTTGACTCTTTACAGAAAAATTTCCAAACACGTCGTTTGTGTTCGCTTGTGTTGTAAAACCTTTTCTCTAAATACGTTTACTGTAACAGGAGTAAATTACATTGTTCCAACTTATAAATAAACAAACCGATAACCATAATAATCAAAAGGATAAACCATCGAAAGTTTACTTATCAACTACCATGGAACTCTCAACAGTTCACTTTCTGGTTATTAGTTCTGACTGAATTCTATTAATTGTTTCGAGTGTTACCATCAATCTAAATAATTATACAAGACTTTGTCTTACAAACATCGTTTGATAGTTCGGGTTGTTTGGTGAGTGGCTCCTCGTTATAAGTGTTTTATGCTAATGTTAACTTAATCACACTCTCTATCAGAATCTTTACGGAGATTTATTTCAATTGAAACTTTGAGCTTTTTATATTGTAATACGATTAATTACTACTCTGAATATGATATTTGGATTGGTGACTATAGGTCATTCAAAGTCCTGTGTTGATTATAACCAAACATTTGGTACTGTTGTTTGTTTTTTGACTCAAAAATAATATGCAGTTCATAAAAACAATTCTTTTTCCAAGCATCAAAGACCTGATGTATGACTGTCTAATATGTTTGTGTCCGAACTATATTCCATTAAACTAGTTGCTGCAAACTTTGGTATACCCATTTTCAAATTCATAACACTACTGTATTTAAAAAGTTCCCGGTAGCTTATTTTGGAATAGTAGAAAACATTGTATTTGCGGTTTGAAATTATCTCGCATTTATCATGGTAACTCAACTTAATTGTAACTTGAAGACGTTCTTCCTAAAATAAAGAAAGACCTACCGTTTTATATGCGAAGTTGTTAGTTTACTTTTTTAAATTTTCATGTCAGTGGGTACAAATGAATTATCTTATCTAAAATTGTTAACTCTTTACAAAATTAAATGGAGTAAAAGTAAAAACTGTAGAAGAATAATATATTTTTATTTCACGAATTACTCTTGAATGATTACAACTTATTATTCACATGTATAGGTTGTTTGACAAAAAACAGGATGTGTGTACTTTTGTCCTCTACTTAGGAGTATTCATCGGTGTAGATAATGACAAATTTAAAATAACCAATAGTGATAGATGTAAGAGATTTTACGTGATCGATTATCTGTAGAGGATTTGAGCTGATTGTATCGATCTGACTTATATCAAATAGAGAGCACCACAACGTTATATAATTTACATTTGTGATTATATCAGAAACTTGATTTAAAGATTAGGTTATATGATACTACTTACTGTTCAGCTACCATTTGTCGGAGCTTAGTATTTTCAATTATCTTTTAACTGATCAATTACTTATTCTTCCTTTCAAATGAACTTAATGCTTTGAACTTTAATTAAACTTAGTAGTGATTTTAAAAGGACATCAACACTTTTGATTGTGGTTTAAAAAAACATGCTTTATTAGTACTACCGTAATCAAAAAAGTACTCAGAATTAAAGACAATAAATTACAGAGTTAATAAGTTCAAACCAAATTTTAAGCTTTGACTTCATTGGTTAGGTTAACTAATAATGTAACTGTTTATTTGTCAATTTAAAAAAGTTATTGAAAGGATACATTAAGAAATTTTTAAAAAGATACTCTATATTTGAAATTTATTCAAAATCGTGATTAAAACTATTTATTTAACTTTAATAAGAATTTAAAATGAATACTTACTTACTTACTTACGCCTGTTACTCCCAATGGAGCATAGGTCGCCAACCAGCATTCTCCAACCCACTCTGTCCTGGGCCTTCTTTTCTAGTTCCATCCAATTCTTGTTCATTTTTCTCATGTCTATTTCCATTTCTCGGCGTAATGTGTTCTTTGGTCTTCCTCTTTTCCTTTCGCCTTGAGGATTCCATGTGAGGGTTTGTCTTGTGACGCAGTTGGGTGCTTTCCTCAATGTGTGTCCTATCCACTTCCAGCGCTTTCTGATTTCTTCCTCCACTGGGATCTAATTTTTTCTCTCCCACAGTACGTTGTTGCTGATAGTGTCCGGCCAATGGATCCGAAATATTTTGCGTAGACAACTGTTAATAAACACCTGTATTTTCTGGATGATGGCTTTCATAGTTCTCCAGGTTTCGGCCCCATATAGTAGAACTGTCTTGAAATTTGTATTGAAAATCCTGACCTTGGTGATGGTTGACAGTTGCTTTGAGTTCCAGATGTTCCTCAGTTGTAAATATGCTGCTCTTGCTTTTCCGATCCGCGCCTTCACATCTGCATCAGATCCACCCTGTTCATCAATGATGCTGCACAAATACGTAAAGGTTTTTACATCTTTCAAATCTTCTCCGTCAATTGTGATTGGATTGGTGCATTCTGTGTTGTATCGGAGAATCCTGCTTTTCCCTTTTTGTATATTGAGACCTACTGCTGCTGAAGCTGCTGCCACACTGTTCGTCTTCTCCTGCATTTGTTGTTGCGTTTGGGATAGAAGGGCCAGATCATCTGCGAAGTCTAGATCGTCCAACTGCATCCTAGATGTCCATTGTATTCCGCGCTTTACTTCAGACGTTGAAGTCTTCATGATCCAGTCGATCACCAGGAGAAAGAGAAAGGGTGAGAGTAGGCAACCTTGTCTAACACCGGTCTTCACTTCGAACGACTTTGTCAACTGTCCTCCATGCACAATTTTGCAGTGTAATCCATCATATGAGTTCTGTATGATATTGACTATCTTCTCAGGCACGCCGTAATGTCGAAGAAGTTTCCATAGTGTTGTTCTGTCCACGCTATCAAATGCTATTTCATAGTCAATGAAGTTGATGTAGATTGATGAATTCCATTCAATTGATTGTTCCACAATGATCTGTAGAGTTGCGATTTGGTCTGTACACGATCTATCCCTACGGAATCCTGCCTGTTGGTCACGAAGTTGGGCGTCTACGCAGTCCTTCATCCTGTTTAACAATACCCTGTTGAAGACTTTTCCCGGTATTGAGAGAAGAGTGATGCTTCTGTAGTTATCACACTTGCTGAGATCGCCTTTCTTCGGTATTTTGATCAGAAGTCCTTCTTTCCAGTCTGTTGGTACTTGTTCCTCATCCCAAATCTTATTGAAGAGAATGTGGAGTATCCTTGCAGTCGCCGCTACGTCTGCTTTTAGTGCCTCTGCTGGGATGTTGTCCGGTCCTGCTGCTTTGCCACTCTTGATTTGTCTGACGGCCATGCTGATTTCTTCAATTGTTGGTGGGCTAACATTGATTGGGAGGTCCGTGGGTGCTGCTTCGATGTTGGGTGGGTTCAGTGGAGCTGGTCGATTCAAGAGTTCTTTGAAGTGTTCTACCCACCTGTTTTGTTGCTCTTCAATGTTGGTGATTACCTTGCCTTCTTTGCTTTAAAATGAATACTGAATTGCGTTTAAAGCACTGAAATAAACCTAGAAGTTTAATATATCCTATTCAATCAAATTAACTAAAGATATTCAAGAATAATCAAATGAATTGATAAGTTAAGTCACTAATTAGATACATTATGATAAGATTGTATGATAATATATGCTAAAGTTAATGTTTTTAAACAAGTTAGAGTAAAGTAACTATATATTAAGCGTGAATCCATGTCTGAACAGTTTGGTTCCCTCTGTAGTATTCGTTTTCATGTAATTAAATTAAACCGATTGCGATCGAAAGTTATCCAGTTCATGTGAAAAAAGAAACAGGAAGGAGATTTGTGTTGATTTTTTTCTGTTGGTAGTATTTATATCATAAGATTTATGTGCTCAAGACAGATTCGAGACATAAATTTTCAATATTGAAATGAACTGGACCTGCTTGTTGATCCACCTGAAGTCATTTAAAATTATTCTTAGAGTTTATTTATTTTTGAAGTCCTTTATCAAACCACAGTCTATTTTGTGTACTTGAGCGAACAACATAATTTTAAGATGAATTAAGTTTAGTACTAAGTTTAAAAACGAACATGGAATGATGTTTTCTTTGTTATTAAACATTTATATTGCATGACGTTACGTTTATCTACTGCCTACATTTATTAACAATGAGGTTACTAACACCATTTACTATAAATGACGAAATTATTAGAATCCTATGTAACATTCTCACCCATTCCCAAAGCTACTAAACGAAACACCTGTACCCGTTAAGCACCATATGTAATGCTGTTGTTCAGACATTAGGATTCATATACAATATTTGACAGTATTGTCAAAATATGGGCTTGGTCCTGTTGGCTACATTTCAATTATATTTAGATTCTACTTATATCGCAAATATAGAATAAAGAGAACCGTATTTCACTCTCACACTTAAGTTCCTATCTCAGTATTAAAAAAATAGTTAATTTCTAAATGAAACTAAGATAACTTTAGTATCCAGACCGAGTCTTGGATACAGATATAATGTATGAAGGTTACTGACTGACATTATACTGCCACTTTAGTTTTGCATCGACTAAATTAACTTCTCCGCCTTTGATATAGTTATTCCGTCACTAAAAACAAGCATTTTTGAAATTGTATTCAAAGTTGACTGAATTTTCTACAATATTGTTTGCATTCTTCAACTTCTATCTCAAGGTGGAAATGATAGCTCCCAAAAATACAAAATTTTTACTCTTGTAGTAATATAAAACTTATGATGATTTCGATTGGTGAGCTACCGTTCGTTCACAGAGTGTATGTTGAATAGAATCAATCAAGATTTTACTTTGTTGTTTTCAACTAGCTCGTTCACAAAGTCGGCCACCAAAGGACGATGATATAATGAGTATATCTACAGATAGCAATCCCAAAAGTTGTATCACTAGCCATTCTGTTCACCCAAAGCATAAATTAACTGTTACTACCCGTCGAACAGCACCTGTAGATACAGCTGACTGTATAGCAGCGATGGAGATTGTTAAACAAATAAAACTCAACAATACGTCGAAAGGTGTTGCCGACTATTGCAACAGAAAAACTGACCACTGTGTAAATGATTCGAATCGCAAAAGATTGACAGGTCAACATAATCCAGAATTCGGCGAAATCGAGTCAAAACTGATCACTTCAGGCGGAAAGTCTAATACATCTGAATCTCGTTCGAAGACAAAGCAAACCAGCAAAAATAATTCCGTTTTGGATGGATCTAAACATTCTATTCGGCATCAAAACTCGAATGAAAATGTAAGTTATTGATAAGAATCTATCCGTATTTCCCAATTATTATTTTATTATTGGATTTTGAAGTTCGTACATGGCTTCTCATTGCCTTATATCCCTCTAAAAACCTGTAATGGAATTATTTAAACTTGACCCACAATTTTAGAGAAAACTGTGCGTTATAAAACTAGTCACATTAGTTTTTTCACAATTTTCAGTCAAAGCTAAGTGAATCATTCTATCTGGTAACGTATAGAAACAGACGTAGATAATGGAATCATTTTATTCACTAATTCTTTGGTTTTTGTTCATAAACAGTTACATTATTTAAATTTCATACGACTTAAATACATCTTAATTAATTCTTTTATTTATGTGTTTAAAAACATGTTTATTGGTAAGAATGAGTCACTAGTGTAAACACCAAATAAAGCTATAAGAAAAATGAACAAATAAAATTACTTAAAAATTATTAGTTTCGCTTAAATTCTGTTTCCAAATACATTTTTTCAGAGTCTTCGGAATATATATTATTTATGGTAAGCTTTAATTGTTCGAACGGTAAAATTGTACATCCAATCAAACTAAACGTGTTTCGTTTTTAACTAGATGAATATATTGTACGTAAAGAGTGTTCATACTACTTGTCATCCGACTACATTCCTCCTTGTAATGACCTTGAATATCAAGTTAGAACGTAAATATTCTCATAACCAAATCAAATTTTTTAGGTTTCAACGCTAACAAAAATGTAAAGACGACAAATGAGGAATCGTTTTACATCGAAAAATAGATCCCAAACTGTTTTGAATAAACAAGTTTCCAACAGTTTTATTTATATCGAGTTTGAATAAATCAAACTGAGTGACACCCGTCACTGATTAATTTATAACCTCCGATGTGAACATTGTTTACAAATATCTCAAGATCGAAATTCTGCAATTAACATGCAAAACTAATTAATTGAGTTATATGTTAATTTCTTCCAAACATTTGTAATTATAAACATCACAGACTTTTCTGGCAAATGTTATGTTTTCGTAAACGATTACTTCATTATAAACTGAATTAGGGACATTTGGTTACTTTTTATATGGAAATATTAAGCATTGTTTCTTGGTGTGCTATGGATTTTTTCATTATCAGAAAACTGCAAATAAACAATTTCAATCTGTTGTCACCGCTCGTTTACCTACACACCAGCAAAGGCCTAATGGTCATACTACAGTAAGAATACCTTCTCAGTCATGCACCCGTGAATGGAATTATGTCGATCAATCGAATTCCCCTAAAGTAATCTCTACTGAATCTACTGATAAGAATAAAACTCCTAATCAAAATGAGGTGGTATGTTTGCAGAGATTTTATTTGAATGATTCCATCTATAAATTTTTTTATATTGAATGAATATTTTATTTTAAACAACAGCTACATGAAACCCAATCATTTTTGTATTAGCCGGCAGTCATCAAACACTTAATGTTTTAAAATTATCGGATGACCTTCTGGAAACAAATGTTTTTCTCAACTAAATATTAAGTACATCGGTGATCTATGCCAACAAAGGCAGGCCTTTAACTGTTAATTCGCACTAAATCTATTTACTGATATTATTAATTCAGAAAACTGTCTAATTAATGATAAGTCATTTGACCAGTTAGTTAGAATGAAAACTAAAATATAATTAAATCGAATACTTTATTCAACGAAAGAATCTGTTTCAAGTAGTTCATTCTCAAAGCTATACAGTCTGAAATGTTTATGATGACCTACAGATCAATGAGTAATTATGTCTATTGGAGTTCGATTAGTTGACAAATCAAATTTGACTACATCAATTTAAACAAATAAATAGTTATTGGAAGAGCGAATTTACGAAGCATTAAAAATATATAATTAACAGATTAAGATGTACCGCTTTGAATATCGTCAATCTGAAATGAAAATATGTGGTTGGTAATCAATAAATCTGGACAGAAACAAACTGTGTATTGGTAATAATGATAGCAAATTACAGTAAGTTAAAATCGCTTTATGAAGGTAGGAGCAGGAATGAAGAAGTGAGGAAACAATTAAATAAGCAAATAAGACTGCAAACTAGAAGCATCGTAAAGAGAAAGATCTTACAGACCTTTTATGGATACCTCATCTTTCAAATAACGGAAAGTCCGGTCTTCTAAAATGCAAAGTACGCTAAGGTGTACACAGCTTGGTAACCTTGACTAAATTTCGTAATAATGTCAAGTGGAGTTACAGAATGAATGTCCAATGTCTACTACATGAGGAATTGATGGCGTAATTGGCGTATGCTGACCTTTGTTAAGTCACACCGGTAGATGCTCCCGACGACAACTAACGAAATTACAGCAGATACAACTATTCATTCACCTATAATTCACCACATCTATACGCGATTTCACAGTTTTGAAAATGAACTCATTGAAACGGATTCTTTCTCTGAATAAACGAATTAATGGGTGTATGCATTCAAATTAAACTGTTATACTGAGTAGTTTCAACTCTCGACAAAATATTGTTTTTGGGTATTTTTCATTCTTCAAATTAAATGGTCATCAGTCTGAAATGAAGTTGTTATATGGTTACTTACTCTTTGATGAAGAATAATGCAATAGCTGATACCGAAAGCAAGATGTACAGTGAATAAATCTCTGTTCTTAGCAGTAATTTTGATTCTGTGTGCATTCATATTTCTAACCATCAAATTCCGATTGGATTAACCTGCACCAGTAAACATCTCATATAACAGTCTTCCTATAGAAAACAATACTCTATTGACAGTGTTCAGTACAAATTTAAAAAGTTTAAATAAACCACATATCTAGATAATAATTGTGCCATAAATAATGATTGGCTTCAAGATAAAAATCCCGAGATCCGATTGCAAGAAACAGTTACAATTAATGGTAAATCACTAACTTAATGTGACAGTTATGAATCAGTTTGATTAGATAATCGTCATTTTACATAACCTTTTGAATGAAGCTTGAAAATGGGATCAATGAGGCTTAACTTTGAAAACGTGTTTACTACAAGACTTGGTAGTTATGGGCTTTATTTTACTTTGCTGACTACCACAGATTTATCCAAAACTAAGACGAAATACGTGTAAAATGTCTCCCATTTTTATCTATTCTCTAGTTGATACCACGGCGTAATAGTAAATCTAATTGATTAGAATCCACACATACCATTTAACCCAGGGAAATCTAGTCTTTTGTCACTTCGAAATATCCTTTAGTTATTCATGTATAACTTGAAGCGAGTTCATTCCCAAATAGTTTCTGATCTTATTTTACGTTTATTGTTAAACGAAGCATTCAGTGAAGACTTTGTTCAGATCCAGTCAATTATCTTCGTCTGTCGAAACAGTATACAAATAAACTGTATGTATTATCAATTTTTTAATGATAGACTGCCAGTTTATTAATGATTGCTTATTTTTAGAAAATGTTTAATCATAATCATGTCGTATACATGATGAGTATATAACGTAAAAGAACTCATCTGTTTTTTTTAGAATTATCCTGACATTGCAGTTGAATCAGTCAAATTTAAAATAGAGAAACTAACAAATTTCATTGTTCGGTTACGAAAACGAATTGAGTAAGTTTATCATAGTTTTAATAAATATTTTTTGTGAATTAATTAAACACGGACTTTACAAAATGATGCTTACAATATGTAGTATCAATCGTTTCATCCTCACTTGTAGGAGACTTTTTTAACTTACTTGTAAACGAAGAAATCATAATTGAATGAAAACTTGTTTCTTCCACATTGAACATGGTTAATTGTTTAAATCATACAGCATCTATGACCTAATCCATGCTTTCTCATAGGTCTATTTCGTTAAATAATATTGAAACAGGAATAAACATTCATCAGATGTAAGGGTACTACTTAATTCACCCTTTCAATATTATTTTAGATTTACTATACTCTACACATATTTAAAGAAACTATCAACATAAAATAATGCACAAACCATGGGTTCACTGGTCATTAACCAATTTCAAATTCATAAGGATATTCATAGACAGTTGAAAACAAACGCCATTGAATACACAACTATACCTCTAATATAAAGTGTTAGTAGTACGGTTTCAAGGGTAGAATTTGTACTTGTAACTTATTTGTTGTAATTAGTTTTTTTATTTATTGGTGTGATAATCTCCATTCATTTCATTAAAGAATATGCCAAAATTGCTGTTTTTATTTGTTTTCAGTGTTTAGCCTAGCAATGGTTTTCAAACATTTTACAAAGGTATATGTGTACATATAGTTTATAGCCAGTTAAAATAAATTCATAACAAAGTTTGTTGTAATATTTTCCAGTCGTAAAGCAGGTATCATAAAAGTTCTAGCAACCTGACTTTATTTTCCTGATCTTTATTAAACTGGGTTACAATGTCTCGGTATTATCACCTAATAAAGTAAGCCATAAATCTGATCTATTCATTGTAGTAAGTTCATCAAGCACAATAATTTCGAATACCACAGTTTTAAAACCTACCTAATGCAGTAACTAGTCGCTAAATTCTTTTGATTAGTAGACCTCTTTTTAGTATAAAAACTTATTTTTAATGTTATCAACATGTACAGGTTTATAATTCCTTTATGAAACTCCTCTAATTTTCTGAAGACCACTTATACTACTTAATTGAATAAGCTTATGAATTTGAAGTAACCATTGTTCTTAAGGCCATTTGTTAGAGATGAATCTCTAAAATAAAACTTATGAAGTTACCATAAAAACTAGTTCGTACTTATCGATTTTGTATCATTTGAATTTGTATAAGTTCCTAATTCCTAAGAATATTCTCCATGACAAATCAGTTTTGTAAAAAATTTACTACAAATACAGAAATCACAAATAATTCTTCATAACTGTATACCATTTACACTCTAAAGAATCACATTTGATATGCTTTCACAAAACGTACTCCAGTTATGTGATTGTTAGGCTCACCGATAATTTAATCTTTTATGTTAAGTTAATACGAATCATTTATTTTGACAGGCTTCTAGTATTTATTTTTCTTGACCAATAACTCTAATGGGCATTTGATATCAAATATTCTATTCAGTTTTTTTCCTCTTAGTAATTACGCATGAAAACAATATAACCTAGTTAGTTCTTAAAACTTTATTCATCAATTTCTTTTACTACTCAAGCTAAAAAGCATCAGACAAGGTGGATATTCTCAGGTAAAAAAGTTTTGAAAATATTCTGATTAGTTATTAAAACAAAAAGAATTTATTGAATAAGTCAGCACGTCTTAAAATAAAACATCAAGTAACCAACATGCCCAATCCAATATTATTGAAAACATTTTAGCCATATTATTCGTTAAAAGTCGATTTCCATTTCTATAAATTAATGATTCTCTATAGGCAGAAAAAATTAATGTTTTTGTTCATACTCAATATTTTATAGTTATAAAATAGTCACGTTATCATTTAAAATTGTTTTTTTTTGTATTCAAATATTAGTTATTATTTTAACTAAAGGTTAATAAAACGTTCAGACATTTCTTGACCTGATATTAATCAAAATAATGATATGTTTATGATCATGACCTTAGTTTTTATATACTAATTCTTTTTAACTAAATTTGTTACGCAAGTGACTTGAATAAAGATAAATTTAAGGAATCTTAAATTATTTGTTTTGAAAGTCAAATATTTGGAACTCTTGGAACTAATCATACTGTAACTAAGTAAATGTTTCATCCAATTTACATTTAAAAAATAAACGTTTTTTTAAGATGCACAAACTTTATGACTCACTTAAACGCCTTCAGCAATATTCTATGAATAGCTTTTATAAATGTTAGATGATTAGAAGAAACTATCAACGGTTGATGGGTCTAGGTTTCGTATAAGCTACCCTTCATCAACAATGGATATTTATACCCTTACGAGAATTCATGCTGCCTGTGAACTTCTAACTTCGTTTACCTAGTGCCACAATCAGAGACGACACGGTTGAGTTGCTCGGGCCACAACTGACTTACTGAACTACTGTCATCTTTATGATGATTGAGCGTTAATCACATCGTGATTATGTAGTTCTTAGTCCTAATTAGATTTTATTCATCATTCTGTAACTCGACCACTAGTTTGAGTGACCTGTTAACTATATGTGGATAAAACCATAGATACCAACAATAAAATAAGTTGCATTTAAGTGGTTTGGCCATAAATATTCTGATGATTTTATATCTAAATGGTCATTTTTGCAGCTGTAGTATAGCCGTGGTCGCTTTAACAGTGTGACACCAAACCTTAGGAGCCGATTAAGAAAACATCTACCATCATATAAAACTACATTAACTGACCCAACTCTCTTCATGAAAATCAGCGTTTTTCATTCTTTCCCTTCTAAACATCACTTGCAACTATTCGAACCATGTACACAAAACTGACAAGTAATTTTCTATCTTATTTAATGTTATAATTTAACTATGTTTGTACTGTTTATTTCGTATTAGGCGTGACTATGCAGAACATGGTACTTGTTCACCAGGTGATGATGTTTTTGGTGATGAAGCTGTAGGGGCTGTTGTTGCAGGTAGGCCAACGGGAATGCATCCTGTCGTTGCAACGTGTCTTCAGAATCTACGCATACTTGAAGTAAATGCTCAAGGTAGGTTAATTTATGAGGAAATACGTTGCGACAACACCCAAACTATAGCAATAAGTTTGTCATGAGCATATAATTTCATCTGCTATCTACAGTCTGTTTCAATTAAATAACTGATCAAAATAGTTCAATCAACCAAGTGATTAGTGTTTTCTTTAGCTTAAAACGTCAAGTACATGCCTAGTCCAACAATTTTATTTTATTTTAAGAAAACGAAAATTTAGAAATCGAATTATGTGAACGATACTATTTTACTACTTTTTCAGAAACAGATTAGATAAACAATTATTAATCATGCTTTTCAGAGTCCTTAATGTAGGTACAATTAGGCTTTTAGTTTCCAAATCATGAATATTATTCTTATGTACTATTTTAAAATTTGAACTAAACGTAATCAGTTTATTTGACATATTGACCTCGAACAAAGCTTTAACACAATGTTTTTCAAAAACCAAAGTACCCTAATTTTCCAAGACCCTTGAATGACTTCATATTCATCGATTCTCCTCATTTCCATTTGTTAAAGTCTACAAAAAGTTTATTTCAAAATATTTAAGGCCTGATGTTTTCTTACTTTTTGTAAAGACCAGATTTTAATTTTACATAAAATTATGACCTGCGCATTGATATAGATCTATAGGAGGTATAGAAACAAACTCAGTCAGTCAGCCATGAATCGCCGTCAAAAATTCGGTATGTGATGACACCTCTGAATAAAACAGGGTATATTTTTACGGACTGATACTATTCTAGTTTCTCTAAAACTTATTTCGATCGAATTTCATACACGCCGTCTTAGCGATACGAAGTAGGCAAACATCAGGACAGATATTATCCAAACTTAATTAGCCATGCTTCATGACAGTAAACTACGCTAAAATTAGCATCAAAAGACATCTGTATCTTTGCTGAGACTCAGTCGGCTACATATTCATGAGAACTGATAAGATCCTAAATTCTTATTTTATCCATATTTCGAGAGACGGACGTTAGATAATGGGACGATGAAATGCTAAAATATGATAAGCTTCCCCAGTGACCTAAATGTGTACGACATACACAAAAACACATCTTATTTAATTAAGATATATTCGTCGCTACATATTCCTTTACATAATTACTTGAACTACCACTGATATAGTTTTACTTACAAATAATTTATATATTTTCTCTCATATTATATAATTGTTTACTTAATTATTTGTCTTTATAACTTATTTATAGAAATATTTAGTCTACTTTATCCAAATGAAGTCGATTTTTGGGAACCAGCTAGAGTATGTTTACTAGAAGGTAAAGATGATGACAAGCTTTTCAATGATGCACGTAGTCAAATTACTGAACATTTATCTAGTTCTATTGAAACATCAGGAAAACCTATAGAAAATACCGGTACTGTTCAATGTAAAATTTCTAGTCCTTTAGATTGCCTTTCTGATAAACCTGAAATTACCAAAGAATTAGATACACTAGGTGATGCAGATTTAATATGAATAAAACTATTTTGCCAGTATTAAACAATTATTCCTGTTTGTTTTCAATCTTCCGATTAATTATTTCAACTATGAATTCTTCTTTGAATTTTATTAGATTTATTATATATTGTATTAACATAATTCCTTTTTAAAAGAGTTTTGAATACAATCCAACTCAAAGATGAAATTAGTTGTGATTCTTTAATGTATATTGTAAATTGAATATTTATACTTATATTTATTTACTAATATCAGAAGTCGACCATTTTCGGTTTACTAGGTTATTTTTCTCACATCAAATAATCAACATGGATAAACAAGATACCTGAAGTTAAAAAATACTTATGGAAAATAAATATTATTATTACTAGGTTTTATTTAATGATGATGATGATGATATAATTCTACAATCAATCAAGTGGATAGAGAATATATGTACATACTATTTAGTTGTAATTCCTGCTTATTTTGTTACCATCTTTAACCATTTCTACAATCATTGTCTTCCTTCCTGTCTGTTCTATCACTTTATTTTTGGAATGAATATTTTGTGATCTGTTAATGTGATCGATAGTTGATTGGATATTTTTTTAAATTTTAGTAAGGTTTGGTGGAACATTTTTTTTATTAGAGTTGAAAAGACAGAAATATTTACGAAAATTCAATGTCTTTTAAATATCATGAATAAATTTAGAATATTATCTGAAAAAAACAAACACCTACTTTGAATTTCAATGAATTATGTAGCAATGAGAATGACAAATTTATCGAAAATATTTTTGGTAAATAAACTACACGCATATTTCCTTAATATGTTTCAAGAATTTAAAGCAATTAGTCCCTTTTATAAATTTCGATAAAACAATGAGAAGACGAAGTTGATCTGAAATGTATAGCGCAAAAACATCACATTTTTCAGATCAACTCCGTCTTCTCATTGTTCTATCGGAAATTAATATTTTTCATTATAAGCTGACCGAATTCTGTACTTATCAATGGTTACTGTGTAATTTCCTACATGAATGGATCAATACATAAAGGAAATTACAATTACGAACCTATAACACAAAATGTAAATTCTCTATAATGTGAATTAAGAAAACCGTTTACCGTTCTGTGTCTAGTTTGTTCTTAATTAAGAATGATAATTTTTGACTGATCTTATCACTAAAATCTACAGTTGATAAATCAATTTCAGAAGAACATTTTTTTCTATAATAATTATGAATACCATGTATGCATTTATATTTGTATACAGGATGGTTAAATATATTACTAGAGAGATTTGTTTATTAGGAAAAATAACCACCTTGAATTCTACGAAGTTTAAGAAGATGACATGTTGGGGCTGACTTAAATCTACAACTATTTTTATTGTGATTGTTGGAACTTTATTATAATTGTGACATGGTTGTATCACGTAACTAAAACGTATTCCAAATGAATCCTATGTCTTGTAAAATATTATACATGGTGTGGTGTTTACCTTTCCCAATATTATCACTTGAAATAGAAGAGCTCTAATAAAATCTCATCCCCTATTCTATTATGCATGATCTTTTCAGCGTTGAAGTGTTGTTGTGCATTAGTTGTCAATTTATCTAACGACAAAATCATATTTAGGGTAATACCCTTATTCTTATTTTAGATACTACGTTATAGGCAGTCAGTAGAATTTTTCTAGTTGTATTATTCAAATGTTTAATTATATTGCTTATTTTAGCGAATTATTTACTCTTTCCCAGTTACTTTTATGTTGTTAATCAGTAAACTACCAGACTATACTGATTTTAACATGGCTATCTTTGACAAACCAATTTTTTAAGGTCTAACTGCAAGATTATACCACCTCTATAGCATTAATAGTCATTAGATATGATGAAATCTTATAATTTAAACTGTAGTTGTATGTGCAGCTGGTAATTCGGAAACATTTATGCATCTAAGAATCAAACAGTGTAGCGTCCTTTTTGAATCTAAGCAAGTACTTCAAATTGGGATATAGTCTAAAAGACTAAAACATTCTTTATCAACTAATATTTCATGCATTCCCACAAAACTGTATGAAAAATGGTCAGATTGTTTTACATTTAGATGGTAGTCCTAAGAAAATGAAGGACAAGGCATGTTTACATCTCAAATAAAAAGCTCACAACTTATGATTTTGAACTACAGAATGTGATATCTGCAATGATTTTTAACACCATTAGGTGGTTGAATGTAGTCTTCTGGAAACCCTAAACCTATGTTTCATACGGATCGACACACATTATATTTTGAGGGAACTGATATTTCCCATGAAATTCAAACCCTCATCATGCGAATTCACATTCTGGGGAGTTACCACAAAGTTATTTTGTCTCTTACATTAATGGTGAATCTGCTGCAGATTTTTAAAAAATATTTCCAGTTAAAAGTGTTTTCTTGGTAAAAATGTAGCCTATTGTTTGTTAGGTAAATCAAATTTAATTTGACTTTATTTGGCTGCATCAAATATAAATCAATTTCTGTATTAGAACTGGTCCAAATGGATGGACTATAATGATTTATTTTTCTGGTTTATGTCTTAAAAAATGTTATGTCTACCATCAAAACAAAATATTGATGTTGATAATTGTTGTTCATTCAGTCATTTAACCATACACAACGTAGAACCTAGCTGTCAGTGTTAGATAACGTTATCAAGCCATATCCCATAATACCAAAAGTGCCAACAGTATCAATGGTAATAGAAACAAATCGGTATAGAATGGAGGTAGAGAATAAGACGATTTCGGGACTCAAGATCTGAAGGAAGGCAAAAGCTAAATCCATATGATCAAGTTTAACTGATTCTGAGCCCTGTCGTCCAACATCTTCAACAAATGATATTAATAAATATTGTTATTCATGCATGCATCAAATATCACAACGTTTAATCCCAACTACTAACCATCAGAGAATCGTGGACCATCTTAAGTGATAATTACATCTACTTAAGGCATGCATCAACACAACTTTGGTTAAAAATATGAAAATGAGTACGTTAAGTGATAACTCAATTTACAAATGAGGCTTTTTCAATAGTAATTATGGAATATGATACGGGCTTACCAAATGAATTTACTTACTTACTTACTTCTGTTACTCCTCGTAGAGGAGCATAGGCCGCCCACCAGCGCTCGCCACCCAACTCTGTCCTGGACAGTCCTTTCCAGCTCCCTCCAGTTGTTATTCATCCTTTTTATTTCTGCTTCTACTTCCAGACGTAATGTGTTTTATGGCCTTCCTCTTTTCCGCTTCCCTTCACGATTCCAAGTTAGGACTTGCCTCGTGATGCAGTTTGATTTCCGTAATGTATGTTTTGTCCATTTCCATCGTCTTTTCCTGATCTCCTCTACAGCTGGAAGCTTGTTTATTCTTTCCCACAGAAAGCTGTTGCTGACGATATCCGGCCAACGGATGTTGAGTATCTTGTGTAGACAACTATTTATAAACACTTGTACCTTCTTGATGATAGTTGTGATAGTTCTCCAAGTTTCAGCTCCGTAAAGTAGAACTGCCTTGACGTTCGTATTGAAGATTCTGTCTTTGATATTGGTTGACAGTCGTTTTGAGTTCCATATGTTCTTCAACTGAAGGAATGCGGCCCTTGCTTTGCCAATCCCCGCCTTTACGTCTGCATCTGATCCTCCTTGTTCATCGATGATGCTGACCAGCTACGTGAAGGATTCCACATCCTCCAGAGTTCCTTCATTAAGTGTGATTGCGTTGGTGCTTTCCGTTTTGTATTTGAGGATCTTGGTTTTTCGATTTTGTATTTTGAGGCCTACTGATGCAGAAACAGCTGCTACTCTGGTTATGTTCATCTGCGTTTGTCCGTGTGTATGAGATAGAAGGGCCAGGTCATCTACAATGTCCACGTCGTCTAATTGGTTCTGCGCTGTCTATTGTATGCCATGTTTTCCCTCAGATGTTGAGGTCTTCATAATCCAGTCGACCACCAGAAGAAAGAGGAAGGGAGAGAGTAGACAGCCTTGTCTCACTCCGGTCCTTACTTGGAATGCATCTGTCAGCTGTCCTTCATGCACTACTTTGCACTGTAGTCCGTCGTATGAGTTCCGGATAATATTGACAATCTTCTCAGGAACTCCATAGTGTCGAAGAAGTTTCTATAATGTTCTCCTGTTTACACTGTCAAACGCCTTTTCATAACCAATGAAGTTGATGTATAGTGACGAGTTCCACTCAACTGATTGTTCTACGATGACCTATAGTGTCGCAATGTGGTCTGTGCATGACCGATCCTTTCGGAATCCAGCCTGTTGATCGCAAAGTTGAGCGTCTACTGCGTCCTTCATCCAGTTTAACAACACTCTGTTAAATACCTTCCATGGTACTGGCAATAGTGTGATGCATCTGTAGTTTTCACATTTGCTCAGATCTCCTTCCTTTGAATCTTGGTGACGTGTCTGTAGGAAGCAATTTCCCACAGATTCAACTCTAAACTAATCTCTAGACTGTCGAGTACAGAGTCTTGGTTTGGCCAAAGTCAGAACAAGTAAGCTATTTGGCTATATAAACTTTATCTGTTTCTAAAACATAAATTAACATCGTTAGTGTGCAAACGAACAGTACAGTCTATTAATACAAAGAAAAACAGAGACAGATGACATACCGAACAGTAGCTAGAGAATAGGAAAAATGAGTCAACAAGCCAAAATTGTCTTACAATAAACATTAAACTGTGATTGGTTAATAAAAAGATACAGTCGTACAAGGTCAAAAGGAGTTAATGTGGTGGTGGGCGTTTCCCTTTATTATTGGTGGGTTCGTTTATCGATCACATTTTACACCCCCCCCCCGAAACGCGCACCACGTCCATTGTCCAGGGCCGTCGTCGCCGTCAGACAACCGGCTTCTTCCAGCAGACATAGGCTTCGCACATCTCTGACGATTTCTTCGTTTGAAGTTCTCAACTTTGCCGTACGGACTCGTCCGTCCGGGCCATAGCTTACTTGCTCGACTATAGCCTTAGGCCATAGACCTCTATTCATTTCGACGTTACTAACGAGGACTAAGTCACCCGGTTGTAAGTTCTTGTGTAAGTCCAACCATTTGTCTCTTGCTTGGAGAGTCGGTAAATATTCTTTTATCCATCTATTCCAGAATGCGGTGGTTAGTCTTTGAGCTTCTTTCCATCTTTTGTTGTATAATAACGTCTTATCCACCGAAGCATCGTCGAATGATATTTTTTATGAATCAACAACAACTTGTTCGGAGTAAGAGCTTCTAGGGTACCAGGGTCTTCTGTCATCTTAACCAGAGGTCTGTCATTCAGTATCCGTTCCGCCTCAGTTAAAAAAGTTTGCAGAGTTTCATCGGTCAACACGTTTTGGAATAAAAGCACTCTTAAGATTCTTCTAATTGATCTTATGATGCGTTCCCACACACCACCTCGATGACTTGCTCTGGGTGGGTTAAAACGCCACTCACATTCTCGTTCTTTAAGATGGTTTTCTATTTTATTAGTATTCCAGGAGCGTATAATCTGTCTCAAACTGACATCTGCACCTCGGAAGTTTGTGCCGTTATCGCTGAAAATACGTTTTGGACATCCTCTTCTGGCAATAAATCTTGATAATGCGCATAGAAATGAATCCGTATCTAAAGAGTAGGCCATTTCGATGTGAACGGCTCTAATAGATAAGCAGGTGAATAAACAG